CTAACATGTTCAATTCCACTCCTGGAAACCACCAGCCCACCTTTTCGAGCGAGCCCACGCAAGACTGCTTTGTCCCCAGCTTATAAAAGCAGCCAAGCAGAGCCAGCCCCGGAGAAAGTTTAGAGGACTGTGCTGCCTCCCTTGTGCTTGAGCATAATCTTAATAAAATCTGTCGAGAAATGTCTCTGGGGTTTCTTCTCCATTTCTATTTTGGGGAACCTCAACTCCGGTAACATTTCATGGCAACTCAGATGGGACCCCTTGTGTCCCTGTAGCAGCAGGACACAGCTGGGAGAAGGTAAGTCACTAGTTGGCCTCATTGCACTGGATGAGCGGTCAGACCTGAACCTTTGCTTCAGCGTCAGTGTGATCAGTGAGTCTGTCTCTGACCCTCCCAGCCCTCTCCTCCTGCCCAGGCAGATTCTGTTTCCTGGTCACTTTGTCTTTTTCTCTCCCTCTGATTGTTTTGTCTTGTCCTTGTGTCCCTGAAAGTGGGTTCAAGTCCCACTGCAGTCATGCTGGTGGGCAGACAGGTTGCTTCCCTTTGTCCCACCCTGAGCGTCTCAGGTTAGAATCCCGAGGCTGGGTTTCAGTCCCACAGCAGAAGTTCCCTAAAATCGGGTTTGAGTCCAACTGCAGATGTTTTGTGTGTTTTTTTGCTTTGTGTGCCTGCTTCTACGCAACAAGACTGACTTACTGACACCCTAGCTACTTGTTGGGCTACTCTCTTCAACACTAAAAAAATCAATGTTGGAAAAAAATTAATATTGGTTTTCTTTTGCAATGTGGCCTGGCCCCAATATTGTCTTGGGGATCAAAAAATGGTAACTATGAAGGGAGTGAGCTTTCTGACTGCAGTTTCGTGACCTCTGGCCAGTGGCAGTCTTCCAGGTTCTGTCTGACCAGGCATAGCTGACCAACAGTGCTTTCATTTTACAGTGAGAAAATTAGGTAATTGATCCTGGAACTGTATCTGTTCTTTGAGTCTGTATCTCAAACGGGCTGTAAAATTTTGTTTTTAACTTGAAACCGGTTTTGAATTTGGTCCAGAGCTGGCAAATTAAATCTGAAAGTATTGTATGTTTCTGGGTGGGGGTGTGAATACATGAATACGTGTAAGTGAAATATATAAGGAATTATGATTGACTTTGGAGGCTGATAAAAGCCACTTGGAAAATAGCCTGGAACCTTGCTTACATGGCTCACAGCCGTCTTTCCATGTAAAAAACCAAGGTTGCTCTCCTGAGAGATGGCAAAGGAAGAGCCTCAAACCATTTTGAGACACCTTGAGAACCTGAGGAATTCACCAAATTGACAGGTATTTTAGGAAAATGCTGATGGCAACTATGTGGCTTGACTTCTTAGCCCTGAAAGGCAATTAAACTTCAATCTGGAGATTCCTTATAAAAGCCCAGCAAAGCAGATTTAAAAAGAACCTATATGATCAATTGCTATTCTTGTTGCACTTATGCAAATGCCAGGCCAAATTTATTAAAACTAGACTGATACAATGAATTAGTCTTCTACTTGGCTATCCTTGATAAAATGAGGGTGATTTTAGTGAGAAAAAAAAATATGTTTTAATAGAAACTATGATATACCTTGTAGATATTAGATTCTAGTGCTGTTCATTGTCTTTTGGGTTTTGTTTTGTTCGCTACCTGTAAACTGGACTAGATCCTGAATTCTAGTTCCCCCCGATATCTGCCTATGACTCTCCAAATATGTTTCCAGTGTTCTCCCATCCTTTGCCTTGGAATTACTGAGAACTAATACTGTTTTTTCCTGAGCCTTGCAATTACAGACTGCAACTAGACAACATCATGTACTTTGGAGAATTCATCACAACAGGCCACCCGGTTGAAAGGAGGGAACTCTGAACACCAGGGCCCAGTCAGAACACAGTGCAGCTGTACCTGCTGCTAAGAGGACTCCAAAGCTGAAATGAATGGTGTTAACAATGAGGACCTATCCGATAAAAAGCTATAGGTGTTTTGAAAACATTAGCTCATTTACTTGAACCTCAAGCAAGCAGTCGCTCAAAACTGAAAATAAATGCAGAATCTTGCTCAATAAGGAGGATTGTACCCTGACAACCCAAATCAAACCTGGGGACGCGTTAAAGGTTACCTGCCTTCACTTACCCGGTTGCTTCCCCTTCTGGAGCCCCTGATGGTCCTTCCGCTCCTCCTGTTATTTGGCCCTTGCCACTTCAACCTTCTCGTGAAGTTCGTCTCTTCCAGATTGCCACAGTTCCATGTTAAGCTGATGGTCATGCAAGGCTTCCAGCCCATCCCAGACAAGGAAGACCTGAGCCCTTACTGTTCTTTAACTCAGCGAGAGAATTTTATTCCTCCCTTGTTCAGCAGGAAGTAGTTACAGGAGACCTCTGGCCCTAATCCTTTAAAAACAAGGAAAAAATCTCTCAAGGGTGGGAATGAGGCAGTATAGGGACTTGGGTCCAGGAATGAAAAAATACCAGATGGCCAGGAAGATAAGTTAAGACCAGGTGGCCAGAAGATGTCGAAACCGCTGTTGCACATGCTCAGTTGATCAAGGTTTGGCCCCTGTGCGGCCTTCCTGTGGTGGCAGCAATGAGCAACACCCCACATTGCCCCCACAGCACTGGGCTGGAGATAGTTGCCAAGCAACCCGAAAGGAGGAGGAAGTAGCCCCACCCTGACGTGTTAAATCCCACTCCTGACCCCGTCACTAGCCCGCCTTCTCCTGCAGGCCCATCTTTCTTTTTGCACAAGCCCACTTTGTCCCCAGCTTATAAAGCAGCCAGGCAGAGCCAGGCCCTGAGCCCGCTCAGTGCTGCCTCCCTTGTGCTCGAGTATAAGCTTAATAAAATCTGTCTGGAAATTTCTCTGGGGTTTCCTATTAATTTCTATCTTGAGGAATCTAAGAACCCCAATGCCATTAACAATATGAGGATCACCTTTCTGTGCTTCTGTTCACTCCCCTCTAAAATGGGAATGGCACCTACATGCTTTGCCTACTCCACCGGGACACCGAACCCAAATGCCATAATAAAGTAGAACGGCCACAGGTAAGGCACCGGAGCTGGAGACGGGAGGCAGGTCAGTGGCATTAGGATGGTGCATGCGCAGTTCTGTGCAGTCAGACCAGCGAGGGTCAAGAGCTTCCTTCCTCAGCTTGGTCATGGGAAAGGGGAGCCACCAAGCTAGGACGCAAGCAGAAGCAGTTCAGACGTTCGCAGAGGTGGCAGCCGAAAAGGGAACAAACTCAAACATTTGCCCCGCGCGTGAAACAAGTCAGGGGTTCCTTTAACAAGGCAAGTGGTGCTGTTATTAAGCTCAGGCATTTGCCTGCTTTGCCCATGTGTTTTCTTTAGCTGCTGATGGGGGAGTAGAAAGAGCACCTGGTATGTCTGTTTCCTAAGCTTTACGACCTTGAACAAGTGATAACCCTCAAGTCTCAGTTATCCGGCGGTAAATTGGGGACAAGAGCACTCAGCTTAAGGTTACTGTGGGAATTAATTGATACGAGCCCCATAAATTGTCTGGCACAGTTCCTGGCAGTCTCTTGCTGTGAACAGGGCAGGCCGCAGCACAACTCTGGCCTAGGTGTAAGTCACCCATATTGTAGGTAGGGTAGGGCAGGAATTACTGACACCTTATAGCCAAGATTCCGAGACAGTCACAGTATCAAAGGCTCTCCTGTTTTCCCTCAAGTCAGTAAGCACGTGTCAATTTTTGATTGGGAAAACGTGATCACCAAGGACGGCACCTTGGCGGCTGCCTATTTCTCCATCAGCCCCGAGTCTGGGCTCCAGGCCCAGTGTTTCTCAGTCAGATCCCCAGATACGCAGCTGCAAGGCGGTGGGAGGAAGAAGATGGTCAGCAGGGGCTCAGGGTGCCTGGCCGATGGGAGACCTAGGTTCGACTTCCCCCTTTCTCAGTCCCACAGGCCACCGCTGCACAATCCCAGCTCTAAAAGGAAAGAGAAAGTTAAATTCTTTGAGCTCGGTGGTTCCCTGCCCTGGCTGCACATTAGACTCACTGGAGGAAATTTTAAAATTCTCATGCCCGGGCTGCATTCCAGACCCATTAAATCAGTATTTTTTAATTTTTTTTTTTAAAAAGCTCTTTAAGTAAACTCCAATATACATCAAAAGTGGAGAACCACTGTTCTGGATCAGGGTTTTTCAAACTTTCCACCTGACAATAGTTACCTATATTAGTTTAAAACATAGTTGCTCAGACTCTGGAATTAATGTTATTACCAGAACTTATTGATTCTAAAACACACCCTTTTAAAAACATGTATAACATTGGAACATCTTTAAAATCAGATGATCTTCCCATCAGTGGTACCTGAGTTTTGATGAAATACATAAGCATTCCAGGTGATTATCACTAGGCGAGTCTGAGGAACAACCAGTTCCCCAGTAACCCCCTGGGCAGTGCTTCCCAGCCCTAATGTCCTTGAAGTCACCTGCCATCCTGTCAAAAATGCAGGTTCTGGACTGAAAGGTCTGGGTTAGGGCCCGAGACTCTGCATTTCTAATAAGCTCCCAGGTGACCTGTGCTGGGCCTTGCCCCACATTTAGGCAGCAAAGTTCTAAATTATCTCCTTCTGAGGAGGCTCCCCCAGCTTCATTTAGGTAAACTGAGATAATTGGTACAGAGAAACACCACCGATGGGGAGGGTGTTTGAGATGTCTGTGAGGCAAAGGCTAGACTGCTCTCCTGAAAAGAGGCGGCTGTTTTCTTATCCCAGAGCTCCGGCACCCACACCCTGTCTCCCAGTGTCAGAACCCAGCGGACCACCTCCCTAGTCAGAGAAACGCCCCGGTCTTTGCCCTTTGTCACGCTGAGCTCTTAATTGGCTTGGCCCATGACAAGGCTGGATGCAAAGGCTCCAATCTCCACACTAAGTAGGTCTCCAGCTGGGGTAGGAGCCTCGGCCAGGACGGGCAGGGAACAAGATCTGGAGCCTGCTCCCTCACCCGCCCCCTGTAGACCAGCTCTTTAGGGCTGAGGAACTGGTCCTCTATCCCAATTTACTTTCCTTTTATGTTCTCTCACAGATAGGAGACCCTAGAGAAGCTCAAGGACCGGAGGAAGCAGCCCAGGGCGAGAGGGCGGAAAGATGGGGAGTGGAATCAGTGCTGAGGACAAAGAGCTGGCCAAGAGGTCCAAGGAGCTCGAGAAGAAGCTGCAGGAGGACGCTGACCAGGAAGCCAAGACTGTCAAGCTGCTGCTGCTGGGTGAGTGCGACGGGAGGGTGAGCCAGGGAAGGAGAAGGCCCTGCTCCTTCCTGCTCATGGTGGATGGAGGTGGGCTCTGCCCACCCCATGGGGAGGCGGGAGGACGGCTCACTGTCCCTCTCCCCCTCCGATCTCAGGCTAGGGGGTCAGGAGCACTAGGGCTGAGCGGGGCCACCCCAACGAGATGCGGGATGCCCAAGCTACGTGGGAATTGTTCTGCTGGTCCTTGAACCAGGAGCAGAACCAGGGCCAGGATGGACCTGCCCATCTCCAAATCTAACCAAACCCAACACCCATGGCTTGGCAAATACCACAAACCCTGGGCTTGCAAACCCCCAACTGCAGTCAGAGAACTGAGTCAAGGACTCAGAAGAGGACGGTGGACTCAGAAGTCCTGCCACAGATATAATCAGTGTCACGTAGTTGCAGGGACAGGCCCACTTGCCAAGGAAACTGGTCCTTTCTTCTTGCTCTCAGTAAAAATGCTAGAAGTAGGGGCCCTGAGGGGGAGGATTAGAGTCTTTAACCAGAGCAGTGCTAGTAGCTGCTGCCAGATGGGAGATGCATGTGCTGATGAGCTCCTAAGCAGATCAGGGGTTTGGGCAGAAGAGAGAAAAGCTCATCAGTCAGTCAGAGAAACTGGTCATGGCTGTGAACAGAGCCAAAACAATCGAGTTTGGGACGCCTGACTTAGAAAAACCCCACGGGCAGCACAGAGGAATGCAGCTGAGGGGGCCGGGGTCTGTGCAGCAGAAGTGGGGCTGGCCCAGCAGGGTGTCCAAGCCCAGGAGCAGCCAGGGAACTGAAGCCCCAGGCTAAGCCCTCCCCCACCCCAGACACACATCGCTGATGTGTGGCACAGCTCTAGGGACACACTAAAGGAGCACACCTCTGTAAGCTGGGCCCAGATTCCTAGGCACCCAGGAGGCTACAGAGGGGGGAGAGAGACGGCCAGGCCACTAAGAGATCTTTTAAGCCTAAGCAGCTTTCTTCTTTCAGGATAAGTAGCTTAGAGCGAACAGGCACAGGCTGAGGGGGAGAGGCTAAGGCACTGGGCAGGTGGACTGGGGGAGAGGGCCGAAGGGTATGTGGGTGTTGATGGAGGGGAAGCGGAGTGTGAAGAAGGATATTAGGGCATTTTATTATTCATTTAAAACACATTTTTAAAATATATTTTTATTGATTTTAGAGAGAGGGGAAAGGAGAGGCATGAGAGATAGAAACATTGATGAGAGAGAAACATCAATGGGTGCCTCCTGCACGTCCCCTACTGGGGATTGAGCCTGTAACAGGAATCAAACTGGTGACTTCTTGGTTCATGGGTCGATGCTCAACTACTGAGCCACTCAAGCCAGGCTATTAGGGCATTTTAGTCAATAAAGGAAACAGCATGACGCTGCTTGTGACAACCAGCATGGACTGCTACTGACGTCTAGTGGGTGGAAGCCAGGAATGCTGCTGAATACTTTCAAGGCACAGGACAGACCCTCCCCCCCAAAAAAAGACTCCTCCAGCCCAAAATGCTGATGGTGCCGAGGCTGAGAATCTCTGCTCTGAATGCAGATGGAATGGCTTGAGCACGAGGCTGGCAGACACTGGGGCAGCGATCATCCCCGTGGCTCCCAGGCGAGCACCTGCCATCTCACTGGAGGGCAGGGGCGGGCATGTGCACATCTGGATCAAGAACATTTCTCCCTGCAGGTGCTGGGGAGTCAGGAAAGAGCACTATCGTCAAGCAGATGAAGTGAGTAGGAACAAAGCCCCAAGGACCAAGGTAGGGTGAGGAAGCCACAGAGCCAGCAGAGGCGCAGAGGTAGGGCGCTGTGGCCTTCAGGAACCCTGATGTAAAGGACAGAAAGACCCGACACCCCTCATCTACATGTCCCTTGCCCCTCTAACTCTCCACGTTGGGACAGCAGTAGGAATAGAGATCAGGTTCTGATGACCCTTTAGATCTTCCCAGATTCCCCATCTGTCAGGCCTGGCTGCGCAGGTCCAGCTAAGGGTCGGGCGTGCGCCCCCTGCAGGATCATTCACCAGGACGGCTACTCGCCGGAAGAATGCCTGGAGTACAAGTCCATCATCCACGGCAACGTGCTGCAGTCCATCCTGGCGATCGTCCGGGCCATGTCCACGCTGGGCATCGACTACGCCCAGTCAAGCTGCGTGGTAAGGGCTTAACCGTATGTGGTTAAGGGTATAAGGAAAGAAAGGCCAGTAGGAAACAGGCCAGCAGCCAACAAGCGAGGAAGAAACGGGGGTCAAAAAAGTTGGGTAGAACTAAAATCCCACCTGCTGAGCTTCAAATTCCTTTACTTGGGTCCTGGGGAAGTGTGCAATCCCTACCTGTTACAAAGGCCTGCTGACAGTGTTCTCTGCCTTTTTGTCTTATTTTACCATTCAAGTTGCTCCCCTTGGGCTCCTTGCCCTGGCCGTGGAACTGTTGTAAGCTCAATCCCTAGTTCCAGAAGTGGCCTCTTCCTACACTTACCAAAGGTGACAGGTCCCTGTCTACCATCGAGTCTACTTCACGGTCAGTCTAGTCTTTGAGTGTCTGGTCTCTAGGCAGCAGAGGACATGTTCTGGGGCGTGGGCAGGCTTTTGGACTAAGGATGGAAGATAGAAACACACAGAGGAAGCTCCTGGGACCTCTGCCATCCACTAGGCACCCAGGACTGGATAGATTGCCCCTCTCTACGTCTCAGAAGCCCACTCAGAAATTCATCAGTATGTTTTCTTAGACAGACTCTTCCCTGAACACCGTATCCAACCGAGGCTTTGGTAGCAATGCAAACGCTGCCCTTCCAGCAGGATTCCCAGAGCCCCCTGGGAAGTCAGGACCCCTGTGTAGTTGTCAGCCGGGTTTCTGCCTTACAGGATGACGGGCGAAAGCTCAACAACCTGGCTGACTCCATTGAGGAGGGCACCATGCCTCCCGAGCTGGTGGGCGTCATCAGGAAGCTGTGGCAGGATGGTGGGGTGCAAGCCTGCTTCGACAGGGCCGCGGAGTACCAGCTCAACGACTCGGCATCCTAGTAAGACTCACTGGGGAAGGAGTGCGATGCCGCGTAAGCCACCTCCTAGGAGAAACTGCACCCAGCCTGAAAGCCCAGGCACTGAAAGCTGGAGCCCCAAGGACTGAATTCAGCCTGTCTACCTGTTAGGCCTCAGAGGTGTTTTACTGTGCTTGGAATTTAATGCCTTTGGATCAGGATGTGGGCCGTGGTTCCCACCCCTCTGTATTGCTTTACATTGGCCTACACAGCTGAAGACCCAAATTCACAACAGAGGTCCACTGTGTGGCAGCCCTCACCTGTCCCCTAATTCACACACGTAGTCTCCCCCTTCAGAGCCATGGACACTACGACGGCCCTGGAGTCTGTGGCACTCTCCCAGGAGGCCCGTGGTTCATGATGGCCTTTTGAGGGCTGAATTTTCTAGCTGGTGACCCAGGCTCTACTCTGGCCGCTAAGCAGAAATGAAAGTCTCTTTCACTCATGCCATCTTATGCCAGGGTGCCAGGGCATGGGACACAGAAACTGTCAAGACAAACCAAAAGTAGCTGTTCAGGGATTAGAGGGAAACAACTTTGCAAAGCTGATTCCAAAAAGATGAGGCACAACCTTACCACAAACTGCGAAGCATCACCGAGAGGCATGAGCTGTGTAGTCAAACAGACCTGGGCTGGGCCCTTGTCCTGTTCCCTAATCCTGTAACACAGTCATCCTGTGCTGTCCCGGAGCACTCACCTGGCTTACACACTTAGGTACACTATCCCGCTTACTCTGAGTAACTTCAAGGGAGACAGTACTTCTTATTAGCCCCATTTATAGATGAAAAACAGGTTCAGAGAAGTTAATGAACTTGCTCAAAGTCATATAAATAAATGACAGAGTCTGGATTGAATCCCGGTCTATTTGACCACAAAGTTGAATTTAATATATATATCTTTATTGGCTTCAGAGAGAGAGAAACATCAATGATGAGAGAGTCCTTGATCGGCTGCCTCCTGCACGCCCCCCACCGGGGATCGAGCCCGCAACCCAGACGTGTGCCCTGACCGGGAATCAAACGGCGATCTGGATCATAGGTCGATGCTCAACCGCAGAACCACGCTGGCTGGGCACAAAGTTGAATTTTTTTACAATATACCACAATGACTCTTGACCCTGGACAAGTCATTTAACTCTTCTGAATTTTTCCTTCATCTATAAAATGGGATATGAAACTCAGTCTTATGAGATCAAATGAGAATTTAAATGTGAAAATGCCTGGCATACAGTAGTCACCTGTGCTGATTTGCCTTCCCTCTCTCTCAGTCCCTTCTCCTCATGTCTGCCTTCCTCCTGCTCCCACCTTTTTTTTACAATCCTCATCTGAGGACATTCTACTGATTTTTAGATTGGGGGGAGGGGACATTGATTGGCTGCTTCTCCCACATGCCCCAACCGGGGATAGAACCCAAAACCTCCTGGTATACAGGACTACGCTCCTACCAACTGAGCCACCCGGCCAGGGGCCCACCTTTTTTAAAAACTTTTTTTATGGTAACTGACAAACATATACAAAGTAGAATACAACAAATCACCTGGCTTCAACTGTTATCAACTCATGGCCACTCTTATTTCATTTTACCTTCACCCCCCACTGGATTATATTGAAGTAAATCCCAGATATCCTATCATTTCATCCTAAAAATGCCTTATGTATCTCTAAAAGTAAGGACTCTTTTTAAAAAGAAATCACAATATAATAACTACACCTAAATATTTAATATTCCTTAATGTCATCAAATATCCACGTAGGCATTTGTTCAAGTTTCCCCAATAGGTCAACTGTTTTCCCCCCCAACTGGACTCAGAATATAAACAAGGTCCACGTATTGCAGTGAGTCATGTTTCATGGGTCTCTACAGACTTTTTAATCCACTCCTATTTTTTTATGGAACTCCAGGCGCCCATTTAAACCACCACATCTCATTCAAGAGTCTAGGAAATCTTGTAGTCAGGGGAAATGCATGCAAGTTACCTGACTTGACTTCAATGGGGTGGAACTGTTGCCCCAAAAGGCCTTGGCCCTCAGCCCACCCCACCCTTCCTTCTGTAAGGACACAGGAGGACCTGAAGGGAAGAACCTAGATTTAACAGTATGGGTTCTAGTCCTGGTTCTATCCCAAGTTAGCTGTATGCCTTTGAGTAAGATTCTTGACCTTTCTTTGCCTTGGCTGTGGAAAATATGTCATCCATGCCAATCACTTTCCTCTAGCTACCTGAACCAATTAGACCGGATTACGGCCCCTGACTATGTCCCTAATGAGCAAGATGTGCTACGATCCAGAGTCAAGACCACAGGCATCATTGAGACCAAGTTTTCCGTCAAAGACTTGAACTTCAGGTGGGTACATGGTCCCCGAAAAGGCACCACAGGTGCACATCTGGTTCCCTGGGGGCACCTCAGCTATCAGAGGGTGTGGGTGTGCTTATGTCCCATCTCACTGCCCACTGGCCCCAAAATGGCCACCTCCCTGGGGAAAACACCAAGAGCATGTGGGTCATGAGCCGGGCAGACCTATGAGAACAGCTGTTTCTTCCCTCAGGATGTTTGATGTGGGAGGGCAGAGATCAGAGAGGAAGAAGTGGATCCACTGCTTCGAGGGAGTCACCTGCATCATCTTCTGTGCAGCCCTCAGTGCCTATGACATGGTGCTGGTAGAAGATGACGAAGCGGTGAGTGGCCTTTGCACCAAGCGCCCTTGGGAGTTCGTTCCCCCATGACCCTTCCTCTAAACCTTGTGTCACTCCAGTGCCCTGACGTGAGTGATTTCAGCTAACAGTGACACTCGACCAATCTTCTGGCAGCCCAATCAATACTGCAGGCAAATAATTCTAGAAAAGCCTCTTCTGCAAGTTCCGGGTTCTAGGTTAGCACTTTAGAGCCCCAGATTTACTGAGAGTGAGCTTGGTCTCAGGTGAGACATCCAGGTATCACTTGGACAGCACAAAGCTCATGAGAGGAACTGAGTACTAAAGGGGTAGGCATCAACTCGGCAAAGCAGAGGAGTTACGCTTAGGACTCTCCCAGGCTGCCGGCAGAAGTGAAGGACAGGAGATGAAAATGATAGAGCAGAAAAAGCCATCTGGGACGTGCACGCAGGACTAAGGAGAGACAGCAAACCCGGTTTCTCACGTGCCACTTAATTTGGCAGCTGGAGGACACCCTGAGGGTGATTCTCTTGAGCCTGTAGTTTTACAGGACAGGAGCCCTGCAGGAGAGGTGTCAGCCCAGGTAACTACCTTCTGAGTTTGGGACAGAGGAAGTCAAAGGTCTGGACAACGCTAATTTCACATAAGCATCTGCTCCAGGAACGGAGCCCGAGAGCTTACAGACAGAAGACAAAGCTCTGTCCTTCTACCCCTTCCTTTTCTTTCTCCCTTCTCTTGAGTAGTTCCAGTTCACATCAGAGCACCCTAAACACCTTCTAGACAAAATGTCTTACAGGGTGTTCACTTTCCAAGATCTCAAGTCTACGAGGTCTAACCAGGTTTTGCAGGAGTACTGGCAATGAGAAAAGGCTACAAGTTAGATTTGTTTTCTTTTTTCTTAGATGAAAAGATTGAGCCAAGTTAGCTAATAGCATACTTCAAGACCCCAAAGGCCTGCTCCCGGCGAACAGGCTGGTCTGGGGCCCTGGGCACCCCCTGGGCTCTGCAGGTACGCAGCGTATTTCTCCCTCGCTCAGCGTGGCGCTGAGGAGGAAGCAGGCGGGAGAGCTTGTGGTGCGGCTCTGGGGAATTCTCTAGCCCTCACCATTTGGCACCGGGGCCAAAGAATCCCTATGACGTCCCTGCCCAACCTGAGATCCGGGACCCTGTAAGAGACGCCTATCAGAATCACCCCGGAGATGCAAATGGGTGCATGCTAACACGGGCCCGGTTTCAACCCTGTAGCAGTAGCACTTACGGACGTCAAAATCCTCAGCTGGGCCCCGGCTGCCAGAGACCTGCAGGACATTCCTGACCTTCACTGCCACGGACACTCTCCGCACATGACCTCATTTAACTCGCGTAATAACCCTTCGAGATAAGGAAACAGACTCAGAAAAGCTCAGTGATTTTTCCCACGTCACACAGCCAGGATGGAAAGAGGGTTCGAAAGCCAGATTTCTTTGGCTGCGCTAAGAGATAAGCTATTCCCTACCCTGCCGTGCAGCTGGGGGCACTGGTCTCTCCAAGAACAGGAAGCAGACAGACAGCCCCGTTCGCCCAGCCTGACATCTCTGATGCTGCTTCCTCACTAGAATCGCATGCATGAGTCGCTGCACCTGTTCAACAGCATTTGCAACCACAAGTTCTTTGCGGCCACTTCCATTGTCCTCTTTCTCAACAAGAAGGACCTCTTTGGGGAAAAAATCAAGAAAGTCCATCTCAGCATTTGTTTTCCAGAGTACGATGGTAAGTGTCAAGGGCTGGAGACCAGTGAGCTTCCTCAGTGAGGACTGGTGGTCGCCTAATTTCCTACACCAAGGGGACATACCGACACTTGCCTCTGAGGCTTACTAAGTAAAAGCCCCTGCTTGTGCTAAGTTGATGATCCCGTATCCCTTTAATACTCCTTCCTCGTAGGAGCTTTGTGATGTCCAAGTGATACTTGGATGTCTAATCTGAGAAATTCAGGCACTGAGTTATCGGTTTAAATTCAGATGTCTCTGGATAGAGCAGAAGTTAGATGCAGGAGTCATCAGCTATTCCAATGATGTCTACCAGAAACCAAGGGTGGAGACAGACACCTCTCTCCTTGATTTCTTTGCTCAACTCAAGTGAGAAATGCAGGAGAGGACCCTCCCTCCAGAAACAGGCCCCCTCCCTGCAGCTAACACAACATTTTGAGGATTAACTCAGTCACCTAAAAAGTGAGCAGCTAAGAAGGGCTAATTTATCTCCCTTTTTCACTATTTTTCTGGAAACCCAGGAAACAACTCTTATGAGGATGCAGGGAATTATATCAAGAGTCAGTTCCTTGACCTCAACATGCGAAAAGATGTCAAAGAAATCTATAGTCACATGACCTGTGCCACAGACACACAAAATGTCAAATTTGTATTTGACGCAGTTACAGATATTATCATCAAAGAAAACCTCAAGAACTGCGGGCTCTTCTGATAGTCATCATTTCCCAAGGATACCTTCTACAAACAGGCTTGGATCTGGGTGATTTCAGGCAGAAAATGACAGGTCATGATACCAGGACATGGGGAATGGCTGCATTCTCCCTTGGAGATAAGGGAAGCGTGACTGGGACTGTCTCTCACATTCCTTTCAAAGCAGGGCGGCTAGTGCAGTTTAAAGAGCCCGAGGCCAGGAGCCAGGAGACTCAGGTTCCAGTACTGGTTCTGCAACTAACTACAAAATGTAAATATTTCATTTCTCTGAGCCTTGAGACCGTCACCCATAAAATGAGGATAATTTCTCTACCACTCACAGGGCTGTTCTGGTGATCACAAATAAAATGGAAGGGAAGGCAAGGAAAGGCTGTGTGGTTAGAGTCACATAAAGAAACCCTATTAAAAGCTGCCATTTATGAAATTCAACACCAGGTTATTAGATGAACTATCCCAAGCAAAACAGCAAAAAACAATCAACAACAAAACCTCAATAAGCCCACCACCCCTTTTTACTAACAGGCCTCTATGTGCCTTGGCTCAGAGATCTGATCACTGATTAGGAGAGGGAGTTAGCTTCTAAGGCACAAATATATATATAAACGATGATCTTTATTAAGCATAGACTATCTCTCTGCCCCCAAGCTGCCAAAAAGACCGAGTCTCCTTTATAAGTAGCTATTTACAAGTCACTTTCTGAATAAACTTGGAGGACGTCAACGCATTCCCACTTGGGAGTATCAACGATTCTATTGCTGCTACTTCTCGATCATAGAATTTAGACCAAGTGAGCAATCCTAAAATTCTCATTTCAACGGCTACGTGTTTCAGAACAAAAAAGGCAGCTGCTCTTGCTTCAGGCAATAAATATCTTTGCAGTTGGGTGGGTCCCTGTGCCGCCTGGCTGAAAACATCTTCCCAAGCCAACCAGTACTCAATTATTCCTTTGAACTCCTCGGAGGGAAAATGAAGCTTGCATTTATCTTGACAGGAGGTGGTGAAGTATAAATTTAGCATTTTCACAACTACTAGTGAGGAAGACTCTTGGCATCAGGGTTTAGTGCATAAAAGAATGTGCCAAGTAAGATGAAAATACGCTCCTTGCCAGAGACACACACATTCACACTTAGGCTGCTACTAGCAATGTTGATGCTAGAGAGCCATACAAGCTTGAAATACACAGAAGAAACGTGCAGCTGTTAAAACTGGATTCACTGAATAGTCTGAGTCCTTGAAAAGAAACCAACTTCGGAGAACTACCAGAGAATTAAGGTAAACTACTCTGCCTGTCGATTTAAAAAGTTAAGCCAAAGAAAAACCTGGGTAAGACTTCCTGTATCCAAGAGCTGTTCAGGGACTTTTCTAAATGGCTCGCTCCGACTATGATTTACTTGTTTGCTTTAATTCTACACACAGGGCTTCTGAGTTTTTGTTTTGTTTTTGGTATATGGATCCCTCTGGCAGTGTAATGAAACCTATGGGCCCTTCTCAGAATATTTTAAAAGGCATAAAATAAATTCAGACAATTGCAAAGAAAACCAACATACTGAATACAGTTCTCTTTGCAGCGCTGAAGCTCCAGGTTAGAGTCTTTGATACAGCTATGACCTTGTCTACACAGGCCTCAAATGTAAATTTATCCCATTTAATACATCTTCAAATAGGGACCCCTACCCCCAATCATACAAGATTGCTTGCTTTTTCCTTTTTAAGATTTTTTTCATTGATTTTTAGAGACAAGAAAGGAAGGAGAGAGAGAAACATTGATGTGAGAATGAAATATCGATTGGCTGCCTCCTGCACATCCCCCACCAGGGATAAGAGCCCGAAACCTGGGCATGTGCCCTGACCGGGAATTGAACCAGCAACCTTTCAGTGCACAGGATAACACCCAACCAACTGAGCCACACCAGCCAGGGCTGTTTGCTTCTTTTATTAACTTTTCTTTAACTTCTGACTCTAGGCAGGAATTTGTTACGGGTTAAACTATTAAGGGCTAGCCCAGGCTCCCTGGTTACTGATTTCCTACGTAAGGCGCCCTACAGTACGAACATGGAACCTGCCTGCAGAGCCAGCGGGACAGGCCTACTGGTAGAGCGATCTCTACAGAATAAAACAGGGCGTTTAAATTCTCTTTTTCTCTGGTTGATACCCCAACTTTTAACTGGCTTATAAACAAATTCGCACAAGCCAGCCTGTATGCGCACCCCACAGAAAGTTTATCCTGGAGGCGGAGGTAGCCGCACTGGAGCAACTGCTCTGGCTGCCTCAGGACTGGTCCTCGCAATGCCTTCAAGCTCAGACTCTTCAGCAAGTCCACACGGGATAAAACTTCGGGGCCTTGGTCACCCATTCACCTGACCTTAGGACAAAGTCAAAATAATTTTCTGAAACTCTCGGCCAACACTGGCTCTCTTCTGAGTAAAGGTCAAACTCTGGACAGGCTTCCCCAAAAGGTATTCATCCTCACCTCAGCTCAACTGCCAGGCGCAGAGACCGTCCCTGAGCTTTACACTCGGAGCTAGAGACAAAGAGCACTGCTACTTCCACACAGTTGGCTTATTTTTATCTCATGGACTTTTTGATTAGTGGGCACGGAAAGTTCTCCGTTTAAAATAGAGGCTAGAAAGCTTAAAACCAAAATTAAGCCACTCATTCGCTCTGCTGTCTGTCTCTTTTGCTTCATTTTAAATTTACTCTATACTGTTGTATTTTCTTTTTTTTTTGTAACGAGGTAGGTCAGAAACAAATATTCAATCCTATTTTCTTGAACTGTAACCTCAATTTTTAGAATGTGAAAGCCAGAAGAAACTTAAAACATTCCAGACCCATCACTAGCAATTTCTAGATAAGAAGCGAAGGCCGAGGGAGGTGGAGTATCTTTATCAAGATCACACTGCTAGGAGGCGGCAGGAGCTTCAAAACAAGCCTCCGACTCCAAGCCGCTGGCCTTCCCCGGTGCACCGCGCCACCAAGGGCCCAGCACACACCACCCAGCCAGTCGGTTTTCTCCTAGTGCCCAAGTTCCTCCCATTCCCAATCAAATTCTTGGTTACTGTTTACTTGTGCCAGCTCTAGACTGGAGATATTTAACAAAATCATCTCCAAGCTAAATATAAATAGGTCTCAAATGGAATGTGAGGTTAGCATAAAATAACAAAAATAAAAATTGCTTTGTCTGTTGAAGGTATCACTTCCTGTTCACACTCTTAGAGGGCAGAGACTACAGTCACCTCCCCGCACTGCAGGAGCAGGCCCTGGTGACGGTAAAGCAAATGTAAACTTGGGTCCATCGCATATGTAAACCTGATGAAATTTTTTTACAAAAATACAACATGACTGACACAGAAGGACCTGCACCACTAACACGAGGCAGAACGATGTTAGCAGGGGCTGGGCGGAGAGGAAGCGAGCGTTTCACGGGGACAGAGTCGGTTGGGAAGATGAGGTTCAGGATGGAAGGTCAGGATGGTTGTGCAATGTGAATGTGATCAATTCCGCTGAACTGTGCACTTGAAAATAATGAAAGTGCTGAGTTTTATGTTATGCATATTTTACAATAAAAAATAGAAAAATAGATGCTATTATTGGAAGTGTGCTTTTATGTTTCTGTGCATAAGGATGAATGAAAGCGCACAAATTCAGTCTTTAAAAGCAACATTAACTTCTAACATTAACTTCAAAGACATTGACTTCTAACAGGTCCTACTCTGATAAAAAAAAAGTCATTTACATGTTGAAACTCAGTCCAAATCAGAGCAGCCCCATCCCCAAAGTGAGAAATTACAGCCTTCAAAGCCCACTCTATACTTGGAGATGTGCCGGAGACCAAAGTGTGCCGGCCACGCTGGGTGGAGGTGGTGCAGGGCCATGGGCTCCTACCTCCCACTGCCCTCTCTACCGGGCACAGCCCCAGAGCACATTCCAGCAGGACCCGGGTGGGGCGGGGCTGCAAGTGGCCAGAGCCCCTGCTGGTCCTGTCAGGTCAAAGCGTGAAGACACTGCAGGGAGGTCCAACAGACACACGGCAAAAAACGGGGGAACTCTCCGCCTTTCGGTCATGAAGTTAAACCACAGTATGACGAGGAAATCAAGAACTGCACTTAAGTGCAAAACAAAGACCTTTCACCTGCTCCACATATACTTGAACTTCATTCATCTCAGGTCTTCAAAATGAGTATTGGAAGTGATGCTGAGAAACGATGAGCAGCTACAGTGACCTTTTTTGTAGTGCAGCGTAATCTTGAGTAGCGTGAATATTTACAGAGCACTTTTAAATGTTATTTCTGTTTGATGAGAACCATGGAACATCACAGTTGGAAGATACAACTAAGCCCGCCTTTAGTTAACAGAATAGGGCTGTAAGACTGGAAGATCTCACAGCTGGTTGGAAGCGGGGGAAAACCCGAGCCCAGCACGCCGAACAACCCTCCAACCTCCTGATTCTGCGGTCTCACGGCCTTCATCCCACACGAGCAAGAATGAACAGGGCAGGTCATTTCTTGCGATCTCTCGTACATGGAACACGGGTGCACGACGGAGGGGAAGAGAGGTTAGGAGATAGAAAAATCAGGTTGTACAAAATTTAATATTCCAGCTCTCAAAGGTCTTACAGCTCAGTGAACACTAATACACAGAGATGGTGTGTCCCGGCTGTGTGCTTGCTAATTACTTTATCATCTCTGCTACCTTGCTGATTCCCACGAGACCTCAGGCAGAGAAAACAGTAGCACCCCGGCATACGAAGCCTTTACCATTCGACGCCGCAGTCACTCCCCTTCCCCCCCCCTTCCCAGGCCCTCTCACTAGCCTTTTATGCGGTAGTTCAGGCCGGCTGGCTCTGCTCTCCACCCAACGGCAACCGCTCGTGATCACAGTACAGCTCGCTCTGTCACAGGACTCTAACTTTCCTTCGCTGTGCGAATCTTTCCATTTCCACTGCATAAATAAATGCAGTGAAATAAAGAAAATAAATGTTTAGAAGCCTGTTTCTTGTTTTGTCTTAATTTTGTATAAAAACGAAGTACTCTGTATCTAAAATGTAGGGATGTTCTTTGACCAAACAGTCCCCATACTAATTTACTGTTGGTGGAAGGCACTGTAAGTCATGTATAAAATGTGCTTCTTATTGGCAAATAAAAAGAACTCAGTTGTTCACTAGTGACTGTGAGGTTACCTGTCTACTATTTGTGCTGGTGTTTAGTAGGTCCTGCTCAGCTGTCCCCAAGTGTTGGCCCAGATCAGCTGCATCAGAGCCACCTGAAGAATTTATTTTTATTTTTTTTTAAATATATCTTTCATTGATTTCAGAGAGAGGAAGGGAGAGGGAGAGAGAGAGAAACATCAATGATGAGTTGTCATTGATCGGCTGCCTCCTGTACGCCCCCAGCGGGGAATTGAGCCTGCAACCCGGGCATGTGCCCTGACTGGGAATCAAACCACAATCTCCTGGATCCTAAGGTCAATGTTCAACCGCTGAGCCACGCCCGGCCGGGCAAGGAATTTATTTTAAAATACACGCTCCTGGCATGCTCTTCCTCTGGGGAGCCCGGATTTCCGTTCCCCTTTCTTTCCCCCAGGTACCTTTCCCTCTCCTAAGCTCCAAGGGCCCTTCTTTTGCTTCTGTAACTTGTTTCCTGAGCCCATGCAGCCTGGTTGACTCACTTCCACTACCNGGGGGGGGGGGGGGAGCATACTCCCAGGACCAGTCTGAGATATCTTAATGAAGTAGTTTAGCCAAGGCATGCATATATGTTAATCATGCATCTCAGCTACCTACTCCTGTATCCCATTCCTTATGACCTATTCCTGAGAAGTCTGAGTCAGGCCGGATCTAGGCTTGACACAGATCAGAAAAAACCACCCTGCCCTGACTTGTTCTGAAGTATGTGCTTCTCAGCAGAAGTAACTCATCGAAGGTGATGAGAAAATTGCGGTGTTTAAAACCTAAACGAAGGTAACTGAACAAAGATCTTGGCCATCCTGGAAGTCAGTTCTCCAGTGCCTCACTTACATCTTTCTTTTACTTCCCAATAGTTGACAGCAAGATCAACTTTCAATGTGAGGCCTTGAAACAGCGTGGTTTTCTCTTGTGCTTGGATGGCCACAAAGCGAGAGAGCTGTGGCTGGTCTGAGGTCACACCTCTCATTTGTACCATGAAGCCTGGTGTAACACACAAAAACTGCCTGGCAGTACTGGGAGGCTGGGACAACTTTGTTCTTAAGTCAGTATCACATCTGAAAGACTGCACAAGTGATGAGTGAAGGGAGTAAGTGCTGCTTTAAGTTTTATAAATGAGTAGAGGACTGTGATTTTTTTTTAACATCTGGAAGGGGGGAAAAAATCAAAGTCCAGAACTATGCTAAGCAAATGGATAAACAGATGAAGTAACTAGTCAGGCCAGGCAAACAGTGTCCAAAGAAAGTCACAACCACAAATTAGAAAACAATGACCAGGATGTATGAAAGTAAGGTGCCGCAAATGAATTAGAAGCAGCAGCAATTATTTTTACATACTCTGAAATGTGCATATAATAAAACAAATACATAGGAGAATAAAAAATAAACAAGGCGAGAGAACAGTTTTTAAAAATTTGGTCCATCTATTCTTAGAATGCAGCACCTTGGAAAGGAACAATCCATCACTGAAAATACTAAAACTATACATGGAACTAGACTTAGGGATCTAACTGTCCAAGGTGAAAACGTCATCTCAAGATCCACATACAAGAAACTGTAAAAGTTTTTGGACTTTTCATGCCAGGAGGTGAAATCTGTTGCAAGGCTGAATTGATGAGGGAGGGAAGATTGGCTAGGAAGAAGCAGAATGCTTCCTCTTTACACAGAGTCTAGTGGACGGCAATTCCACAGCCCAAAGTTTAATCAGGTAGAGAAGATATGACTGTCAACAAAATGATGCTACTATTGCAGTCCTGTCTGCTAGGGTCTATTAAATACTGTTATTAAAAATTAATTTCCTTAGATGTGCTGATTTCTTGGATGGTCCAGAGCCTGGCCACCTGAATTCTGAAACATGACCCATCACGAATCTCTAGCATTCTTCACAGACAAGACACAAGGCAACTTTTTGTTTCTTTGATTACAAATATCCACCCTTTTTCTCCAGGCGGGAAGATATGATGTTTCATCCCCACACTCTAGCTCTGCTATAAGAAAAAAATCTTTCCTTTCAAAATATGATAGTGACTTGCAATGCTGATGATCAGAATAACCTTTTTAAAGTTATAATTGTGAACCCACTGGCCAAGAGTCAATGTCTGAGATGGATCCAGATGATTCTGACTTGAGGCGTATTTGAAAACAACTGACTTAAACTGGGTCCTGTGTCCACAAGGAATGTACATTAGCTAAGTTATTTGGATTGGTGGGGCAGGGGTTGATCTTCATGTAAACACAGAACAAGTGTAAATGAAGTAGAGGCAGGAATGTGGAGAACTACTATTTTCCATTAACAGAAGGGCTAAAAAATGAATATATCAAACACATTCAAATGAAAATACAAAATGAATGTCAAAGTAAAATTAACTTTTTTGGGTTATCTGTTCTTTTGGGTTATCATACCATCCCATTATCCCAGGCTACAGAAAGACTATAGTTACAACAACACTGGAGCAGTTCTTATTTCCAGATGATTCTATTTACAAAATACAATAAGGAAAAGATTTATTCAAAACAAACAAGAACTATCAACCCTATTTACATTGTGAGCCATAAGTCAATCACCAATTTAAGCTGACAATTTTCATTCTTTTAATCCAGTTTTCCCAACCCTAAAAAATAAATTGTTAGATAACACAGTTCACCACCTGCACAGTTATACTTTTCCAAAAATAGTAAGAAAAAAAAAAACTACCAATAAAGGCACTGAACTACTGTGGTTTCCTTTTTGAACCAGCTTTGATGACCACCAAACATTTATTTTCCTTTTAAACTAGTGAAAGGTCACATCAAAAGATGAAACAGAATCCAATCCAAAAGACTGGACCCCAAAAGGCACTGGTTAAACTACTGATATGGAATGCTCAAAATGCACTCTTCATTTGCCTTCCCCAGTGGACCATCCATTATTTAATGACATTTGCTGTACACTATACAAAAGGACCTACAGGCTGAGGTGAATATAGCGTTCCACACGACCAAATGCAAATCTGGAAAAAGGACTGTGAGTGCATGTCACTCACACAAATGGGACATAAGACCCTCAGGCAGGTCAAGATTCAACACAATGATATCAAAAGACTAGCTCTTCAGGGAACCTTTCTATCTAGACCCACTCTCAGACAAAGGCCAAAGCACACTCAGCAGGGGCAACAAGAAACAGAAGAAAATATTTCCAGAAGGGACTAGTTACAAACAGGAACAAACCTGGACTCTTTACTCACCATTTTAATACTGCTGCCAACTATAACAGATTAAAATCTGTACACATGACAAAGTGGGAAAAGGTCCCAAAATGCAATGGTTTCGGCCAAAGAAGGTACTGACTAAGGATTACTACAATTAACATTGCTACAACAAAAACAATGGCAAACAGGGCTTTGGCACCACATTTACAAAGTAAAGGCATGCACTGTTAATACACTTTAGATGTTTCCCAACAGAAAAGGCCACAGAAGATGAAAAACACGGGGCACCGTTCACAAAACTCCCTACAACTGAGACAGACAAGCAAGGATCGAAGCAGTCAATTTAGTAGGGATGTAGCAGAAAAGTCACTACTTCTGTTTCAAATTTAGCAATCTGCCTTTTTGATTGGCAGCTGCCCTGGGTGTCTGGATCCAAAAAGTTGACTTTATCATACTACAGAAGCATTTATTTAGTAATTTGGTAATCAGCATGAACCTGGTTAACGGTCAACCCTAAGCTTAAAAAAGAGAGCGAACTAGACAGAGCTCTCCAATGTAATTACCATTTAGGAACCATAACGGTACTTTCAACAGGATAGTAACAAAAATTTCATCCAAAAAAGCCATAATTATAGCCCCAATAAAAAAGAATTACACAATTACAGAAATATTCTATTCTGACCACACCAAGAGTTAAAATCAAAGAGCTCCTACTAAGAGGAGTATTTTCAAGATGATCCGCTCATATCGTGTGCATAGTTAAGACTCTGTGTTTTAATAAAGATTCTTTTGCAAACAAAGAAATAAAATTTAGTATTCTTGATGGGGAAAAAAAAACACTTTAAAAATAAACTACTGATGGTCTGTTAACAAGGGGGGGAAAAAAGAAGAAGCTACATATTAAAGTTCTGGGATGCAGCACCTCAGCTTCACATCTGCCCTAAACATCTGAGATCATGAAATCCAAGTGGTGTCTTCATTTGTACTTTACAGTTGTTCCAATTCCAATATTTGACTTCAGCATCTCGTGCCAATTAAGAATTCCCTAATACAGAAGAGTGTGCTAAAGAGTGCAAAGATTCTGCATGCCGCCGCCATCCCTGGTCCCGTTCACGCTCACCACTGCCAAAGAGACAGCGAGAGAAGTCTGGTCTCATCTCAACACTCCACACGGTAATAACTAGAACAGAAGAACATTCTTAATTAGAGGAAGTTTACCAAGTCGAGAGACAGCACTGTAGCACCGTTCGCAACACTGCCCACGTTTTACCTTTTGTTCACATCCACATGCTTCAGTAAAGTCCACACTCCTTTAAGTTGTGCTTAATGATGACATCTGTGACCGCGTCGAAAACAAACTGCACGTTCTTGGTGTCTGTGGCACAGGTGAAGTGGGTGTAGATCTCCTTGGTATCTTTTCTTCTGTTCAGGTCTTCAAACTGGCACTGGATGTAAGCAGCTGCTTCCTCATATGTATTGGAACCTGAAGCAGACACCCCATATTCTCAGTTCAAATTAAATGGCTGCCTGAACTCGATTCAGTCAGGCCATCACCACTTACTGATAAAGAGAGGGAATATGAGCCAGCTGAATATAGATAGGCTTCTATATTTCTACGATCATTATTACATTTTTCTTGAGAGCACTCATATCCTTATAAATGAAACAAAATCACGACACACAAAGATCCAGGAAAACAAACTTGAAGTTTCTCTTTCCCCTTTCATTTAGACTTTTTGGCTAAAAACTCTAGATATAAGTATAAAAGGAAAACAGGGGAGTAGGAGGATGCATTTCTAGAACACAATTGTTTAAAAGGTCACGAAGCCTGTGCTCCTTGAAGTGATCGTGAAATAATTCAAAAGGGTAAGTCACACTTCCTTTCAAAGTCATCCCAGTGTTAAGGGGGCTTAACTTCAGAGGCTTCCAGCAATAATGTATTAAGCAAAACAAACCAACAGATGCAAAGGGAAAAGGGCCCTGAATTATACACCTTTAAGTAATCAATTTTACAGTATGTGAATTATATCTCAATAATGCTGTTATTTTTTAAAGGTGGGGAGACCAAAAGTAAACCTTAGTTTCAACAACATCTATAATTAACACCCTAATAACCTGCTTCCCACACCGTCTTGTCTACCTGTGAGCCTTCAGAATAGCCCCAAAAACTGGCTGCAGAGCCGGGGAAACACAACAAAACACAGTTACTCCTGTGAACCAGAGGCTGTTTTCAGTGACATTAAGCATGACAAAAAAATACCAGCAACTAAGTATATAAACACTAAATAACATAGAAAAGGGCATTATTTCAACAGAATATTTAAAGAACTGAAGGAAGATAGCTTGGTAGGTGCTTGAAATGGTTTTCTGAAGATCTGCAGAACTTCTGTAATTTAAAGGAGACAGATGATTGAAAAATCATTTTTGTCAGGTAGGAAGAGATACTGAAGATATTGACACTTGGGCAATCAGTGCCCTGAGAATCCTTAAGAACAAATCAGCGGAAAATAGGCGTGGGAGTTCAACAACAAAGAAGCAGTGACGCTGAGGGCTTTCTGCTGTGTGAAGACTCCCAGCTGGAACATTAATGTCAACCTTTTTACCTGTCTTAAGAAAGATTTCTCTCCTCCTGAAACCTACCAACTTTCTACATAGACTCACCCAGCTCTCACCCCCTGCCTCACTCTGAACAGATGACCACATCTCCAACTTCCCTGAGAAAGAGGCCATGGGCTTCAACTATAGTCCTAACCTTTTAGCTCAACACCATGCTTAAAAAGTTACTGCTATTTGCCTACCTTTGGTCTTAGAGATGTCTCCCCTCCAATTCAAAATTCAATTGCTCTAACTTGGCTCTCTTTTTTAAAAAGTTGAGGTAAAATTCACATAACATGTAACAAAACATTTGAAAGTGCACAATACAGTAGCATTTCCTGTATTCACGATGTTATGCAACCACCACCTCTCTCTAGTTTCAAAACTTGTTCACCACCCCAGAAACACATCCCATTCCTATTAGGCAATCACGAC